TTTTTGGACCTCTTTTGCCATTTGGGTTAGATTATTTTTTAAGGTGTTATTTTCTTCAGTATTTTTTTGGGACTCTTTTAGCAAGCTGTTGACTAGTTTTTCATGATTTTCTTGCATCACTCTCATTTCTCTTCCCGTTTTTCCTCTACTTCTCTTACTTGCTTCTCAAAATCCCTTTTGAGCTCTTCCAAGGCCTGGGACTGATTCATATTCTTCTTGGAGGTTTTGGATGTAGGAGCTTTGACTTTGTTGTCTTCTTCTGGTTGTATGTTTTGATCTTCTTTGTCACCAAAGTAAGATAATATAGTCTGTTTCTTTTTGCGCTGCTTACTCATGATCCCAACCAATTACTTGAGTATTAAACTTTTTATTAAGGTAAGAGTCTGCTTCCAATGTGGAGAATGTACTGTCCCAAGTTTCTGGGGTTTTGTACAGCTGTTTTCAGAGCTACTTCTAGGGACTTGTAAATTTTCAGTTCTTCCAAGGTGCTATGGGGGCAAGGTGTTTCCTCTCCACCGCCACAACAAGCTTCACCACACCAGCACTCCTCCTCACCCCAGGACCGCCCCTCAGAACTGTGACCCAGATCCAAGCACAGTCAAAGCAAGAGATTCCTGCCTCAGCACTGGCAAAGAGATCGCTGCAATCCCCCTCTGATCAGCCACTTGATTCCCCCTCAGTCTGTGGACTGGAAGCTCAGGAGGCAGCCGCCGCCCCAGGCCACACTCAGGACTTGTGGCTGAGACCTAGCTTCTCTCTCACCCTAGTCACAGACTTTTCCCACTGACCTTCCAAGTTGTCTTTGGTCTTTGTGAGTTGAGAAGTCTGGAAACCACCACAGCTGCCTGTGATTCAGTCCTCTGAGGCCTGCTCCAGGTTCACTGCAGCCTGCTCGCACACGCTGCACTGCACTCCTCTACTCGCCCGGCGTGATATACGTTTCCGATCAACCATCCAGGTTGTCTTGGGCTAGAAATTTGTTTCACTCTGTCTTTTTGTGAGTTCTGCTGCTTTGGAATTTGTTTAGAGCCATTTTTTTACAGGTATTTGGAGGGGTTTGGGGGAGAGCTCAAGCAAGTCACTGCTTTTACTCTGCCATCTTGGCTCCGTCCCCCCCAGGATATTTTTAAATGCATAATAAAATACATAGAATTGCAAAGGAATTCAATTATATTGAAATACAATTATCAAAACATTAGAAAAAAAACCAAGATTCAGACCCCTGCTTAAGAACCCCTGCTCTAATCAAATACAATGTTTAATGGCATTACCATGCTATTAAAGTTAAAAGCATATTCTTCCTTTCTATTAACAATCTTTCTTTCCTTTCTAACTTTTTTCAAGGAATATACTTCATAGGGGGTGGTATAGTTTGAGCATCTGTTGCAAAATGTCTTCGTGTCCAAACAAAATGTATGAGTAAATTTTAAAAATACCTGTGACTTAATGAGGTATACAATGAGTGGTATACAGATACAGTAAGAGGTAAAGAAAGCTCCTGATACTGGAGCCCATCCACAGGATAGACCAAAGTTTTGTTGCCTTTGCCACCTTCAGAGGAAGAATTTTGCATAGACCTGAGCATGGTTAAAAGATGCTAAGGTGTGCAATTTTGATTTTGCAGATAACAAATTGAGAATTGAACACCACCATCAAATTCAGATTGTTTTCTTATGAATTCTGAGTTCATTTTCTAAAACAGGGAAACAAACTTTAATAAAGAAATGTATGGCTCTTGAAATTTGAATATAATCATTAATTTTAATTTTTCACAGGAAAATAAACAAGGACCGTTCTGGTCTTTATCATTTTCATTAAAATTTAATTTATAATTTTATTCTCTTACAACACTAATTCCATGAAAGGTTATTGCTATGGTGCTGTGCTGATACAAAATTTATTTAAAATTTATCCTTTATTGATATATGTTTAATGGTTTAGTGAAAATTTGGAAAGTTTGAAATCCAGCTCCTTAATAAAGGGTAAATGCTATAGCCCTTATATGAAATCACAAGATCTCTTCCTATTTCATAAATAACAGATATTATATTGAAAAGGAAATATGAGTATATCAATTAGCAAATTATCTCCTAATTATCCCCAATCTGGTCTGTGTGTTCAGAAGTCCCATACCAACCTGCACTGGCACCTCCTGTTTCATTAAATATCGCATTTTATTGAAGACCTGCTGTTGGAGCTGGTCCCAGGATATGGTTCTATCTTCTCTCATTAGTAAAGGTGGACCAAATCTGTAGAAAGACATAGAGAACTTTCCTTCAATAATATAAAAACCAACCAAATGTAGGAGAGTTCTAATTAATGGAGTGATGTTTGTGTCTCTCAAGCTCTTGCCAATGAAATATTGTCTTTAGCACGTGATAGATATGGCCAATAAATATATTTTGACTGACTGCACAGATACAGGGCAGATGTGTTCACATGTTTTTAATCAAGGGTCTTTTAATCAAGCTATGGAGAAATACTTAGAGAGAAGAGGGCTATAGGTAGATCTTTAAAAGGCTATATGCTTCAATGGCTTTATGATTATCTCAAATGCTTCAGCTTGTATCCTATACATGCCTTCTCCTATGTAAATCATATCCCTGTCCTTCCACAAATCCTAAAAGGAGACCCAAACAATTATTATACTGGTGGCCTTCCTCTAGACATCTTGTAGTGTCTAGAGTTAGTGTCATGTGCTGTGTGTCTGAGACTACATTTGAACTCAGGTCCTCCTGACTTTCCAAGGTCAGAGCTCTATCCACTGTGCCACCTAGCTGCCGCTAGACATCTTGTTATTGCAAGGATACCAGTACAACATATAGATTGTCTATCAGTCATTCCTTGCTCCTGTTATGCAAGCAGTCTCCCTCCTTTTTGTAATACTATATCTCTCTGACGATACCTTTTACATAGTATTTTTATGACATTCTTCATCGGTAACATATTTGTCCACCACTTACAACTATAATTCTTTGCATGACTTGAAATTCCCTAACTTGCAAATATAGCATCATGAGAAGAATACTGTTCCACTGATCAACTTCTTAATGTTTTATTCAGTGCCAGATACTCTGGATGATTATTGTTTTGAGTATAGTTTGAAATTCTGCATTGCTTGGTCCCTTCCTTCCCACTTTTTTTTTCATTATTTCCTTTGAGATTCTTGATCTTTGTTTCCTTTAGACCACCTCAGTTCAGGCTTAGACTATTGCAATAGCATCCTATTTGGTCTCTCCAATCCATACTCCACACATCTGCCAGAGTGACATTCCTAAAACATAGGTCTATTTTATTCCCCTCCTCAATATACTCCAGTGGTACCCTATAACCTCTAGAATGGAATCCAAGGTCCTTTCTTTTTTATTTTAAAGCCCTCCATAGCCTGGCTCCAAACTTCTTTTCTAGTTTTATTATTCATGACTACTCCATGAACACTACAATGTGGTCCAAAGTAGTTTTCTTGCTGTTCCTCACATGTAACCCTGTATTTTCCGTTTCTGCAACTTTTGTACAAGCTGTACCCCGTGTGGGGGAATACATTCTCAACTACTGCCTATTAGAAGCCCTAGTTTTCTCCAAAGTTCAGCTCAAATGCTTTCATAAAAGGCTTCTATTGATCCCTGTAGCTGCTAGTGCCTCATACCTAAGGTGCTTTATATTTACTTTGTATTGGTTTGAATATATTATACATGCTATCTCCCATAACAGTCTGTAAGCTCCTTTTGAGAAGGAACTATTTTTTTTTGTCTTTTTATTCCCAGTGTCTGGAACATAGGCTTGCTGACTGATAGATATTTGAAAATCAATTTGTCATTCTGAAAATTGTGTTGTCTGCAATAGAGGTTTTTTTCTGTATATTCCTGGTCTACTCTAGCTACTCTTCTCTCTTTCCTTACTTTAGTGTCAAATCTACTTTTTCATAAAGCCCACATCAGGACCTGTAATGTTAGAGTACAAATACGGTAGCCCTACTGTCATTGATGGAGAAAGGAGTTTGTAACAGTATTACTGAAAGATCTTTTCTAGATCTGTTTCTTGATAGTTTTATACTGGGTCAAGTATAAGAGAGAAATGGGGCAATGGAGTGGAACTGCCCTGGGCTTAAATTTTACTAGTCAAATTAATGAAAATTCACATTTATAAAGATTTACATAAATTTACCACACATAAATTTATACCATGCTCACTTCTTGTTGTTGTTTTTTACTTAGTCATGTCTGACTTTTCATGACCGTATTTTGGGTTTTCTTGGCAAAGATACTGAAGTGGTCTACCATTTCCTTCTCCAGCTCATTTTACAGATGAGGAAACTAAAGTAAAATGGGTTAAGTGACTTGCCCAGGGTCACACAGCTAGTAAGTGTCCAAGACCAAATTTGAACTTAGGAAGATGAGTCCCCCTGACTTCAGGCCTGGCACTCTACCCGCTGCAACACCTAGTTGCTCTGCAGTTTCATCACAGAATAATAAAACGTTAAAACTTGGGAAGGACTTCTAAGATTGGCTATCTAGTCCGATTTTTCATCTTACAAATGAGACAAATGGAATTTATGGACAAGAAGTGACTAGCCGAAGGCCACACACAAGTATCGCCTAGCATGTGACTTAATTTGCTAAAATTCTGTCTTTTTGGTGTCCCTACCTCAATTGTCATAGCAATAAATGCAAATGTATACATATCAGAAAGAGTTCCAGGAGTAGGATAAAGTAGCCACATCTTACACAGGGTCTTCTTTTAAATACTTTATCTACCCTGAGAGGAGGAAAAGAGATACGTAATCACCTGAGTTAACTGCCAGACAGGTGATTTTGGCAGTGTGAGAAAGGGTTGGAAAAGTAGTATTTATGGAATATCAGTAATGATGGTGTCCAAGTAAGGGAAGGTATATGCTTGAAGTAACCCATGAAGTGGATAGGGTGCTCTGGATACCTAAGGAGAGAGGTACATGGCCAATAATCCTATCTTTTGGAGAAAGTTTGGGGAATTTTTGTACCTCTTTTTCCATTTGGCCAATTCTGCTTTTTAAGGAGTTCAGTGAATTTTTTTGCCTCTTTTACCTTTGATCTATTCTGTTTTTTAAGGTGTTATTTTCTTCAGTATTTTTCTGTGCCTCTTTTACCAAGGTGTTGACTCCTTTTTCATGATTTTCTTGCATCACTCTCATTTCTTTTCTCAATTTTTCTTCTACCTTTCTTATTTTATTTTTAAAATCCTTTTTCAAGTACTTCCAGGAATTCTTTTGGGGCCTAAGACTAATTCACATTTTTCTTTGAGGCTCTGTGATTATTTTGAATTGTTGTCCTTCGAGTTTGTGTTTTGATCTTCCCTGTCACCATAGTAACTTTCTGTGGTCAGGTTCTTTTTTTGTTGTTTGCTTATTTTTCCAGCCTACATTTTGACTTTTAAACTGTATGTTAAAATTGGGCTCTGTACCTGAGGTAGATGGGGCACTGTCCCAAGAGTCAGGTTTTTTGTGTCACTGTTTTCAGAGCTAATACTGGGGGTAGGGAGTGTCATCTATGAGTTTTCAATTCTTCCCAGGTGGTATTATCTAAGACGAAGTGTGGTCACTGCTCTCCTAGCCTGTGCTCTGGTTTGTGAGTGACCACAAGCACTCTTTTCCATGCTGAAATTGTGTCCAGGGTCTCCATTCACGCTGGTGCTCATCTTTGCCCTGGGACTGTGGCAATGCAACAGAGTCCTGCTCCCCATAACAGCAATGGGTTCCCTGTAATCTCCTTCTGACCAGTTGTCTAGCCCATTTACAGTCTGTGGGCTTAGAGCTTTGGAAGCCAAAGCCACCAATTTAGTTGCCCCCAAGGCCTGCTACTGGTTTGCCAGGGCCTGGCCTGAGCTGGCTCAGCCTGTGCTGGACTGCACTCCACTCTCACTCCAGTAAGACAGACCTTTCCTACCATCCTTCTAAGTTGTCTTAGGCTAGAAAATAGTTTCATCCCAACCTTTTGTCGATCCTGCCATTTTAGAATTCCTTTTGAGACGTTGCTTTAATGTATTTTGGAGGGAAATTTGGGGGACTTTAGGGAGGCCCTGTCTTTACTCTGCCATCTTGGGAACTATATTTTTTATGAATTCATTGTAAAAAGTGTAAAAAACAGGATATTGTTTGTTAAAACAACAGCATGGTATCCTGAGTATCCTGATTAGAACTAATTCAAAAATTATGATTTAGAAAATTTTTAGCTTCTTCATAACGTGGTTTGTGTGGAGAGTATCACATTCATAACTTTGACTACCCTTATTATCTGAATGTTATAAATCATTAGAAACAACGGCCCCTATATTTTTACCTTCAAAAATCTCAGATGGGGGGATATAAGAAGTCTGGTTAATATCACCTTCACCTGTTTCACACAAATCTGAAAGGTTTACTGTCCATGTCATTGACCATAAATTGTAGAATATTTCACACCCATTCTCCTGCACTCACATTCTTCCCAAACCATTTAAAACAACTGCAAACAATAAATTATAGGAGAGTGACTGCAGCAGGTGGTTCAAGCCTTGGAAAGATAACAAGCACAGTGACTGATGGTTTCTAACCTTGTAATTCAGAGTGATTTTTTTTTGATGCCACACAAATTCTGGACTTGTATCAAAGGATTTCATCAACAGAACACATGATATTTGGGGGCATGATTTAATGCATCACACTACAGCAAAATGAAACTTGTTTTTTATGCTAAAACTTGTAAATCAAATGTTAATCAGAATTTTTCTTTTCTAAAGTAATCTCTTTAGAGTGAGAAAGAAGTGATCTCCTAACCAAACACCTACATCTTACGTACTGGGATCAATAAATGCAGATAGTGACAGTGTATCTCTGATAGTTCTCCTAAGAGCTTTACACATCTGAATATCTCACTTCTCATAACTGTAAATCAGAAGAAGTAAATTTTTCTTTTTTCTTCAAATACTTTATGACAGCTCTTATGCCTCCCACTCCCCAAGGCTTCTCTTCTCTTCTCTTCTCTTCTCTAGGTTAATATCTCCAGTTCAAAATTTTTCACCATACTGGTTGCCCTTCTCTAAACGCTCTCCAGTTTTTTAATATCCTTCTTAAACTACGCCACCCAGAATTCAGTCTGCCAAAACACATTTACTTATCATCATTAATCCAAGCAGAAGTTTTTATTCCAATTATTTTCTTTGGTTTGCAAAGGGTACCCAGATACTATGCTACATGTTTTGTTAGTTGATGGTTTGAACTTTCCGCAATTGTTTTTCTTCAACTTGTTCATCATTAATTTAGTTTGATACTGTTATTTGATCTGATTTTACTCTTTTCATGACATCAACTCTTTTATTCCATAGCTCTGGTACTTTACAGGTTTATTTCTACATTTAAAAAAAATTAAAATATGATAATTCCCCTTTAAGGTTTTTTTGTGTTTTGTTTTTGCCAACTGCCTTTCTGAAGGCTGTAGTCCACCTGAACTTATAAGAATTGTGTTCTTTTATTAAAGTTTTTATGGCATTTAGATTTACAAAACCTGAAAATCTTTCAGGCGTTGAAGCTAAATATCATGTGATCTCCTGGTCCAGAACAGAAATAATACTGCCATATGCACATCTCAATACTGAACTGCTGCTTTCCTATACAGAGCAATGCTATGATTGAAAATATACCCTATATTCTCTTTTTTGGCTGCCATACACATCATATTGCTGATTCATATTTATCTTGTAGTCCACTAAAACTCCCAGACTTTTTAAAGAATAACTGCTATCTGTTGCTGCCATTTCTACTTACAAAGCAGATTTTTTTGCACCTAAGTGCAAGACTTAATGAATTGTTATTCTATTAGATTCAGCCCAATGCAGAATCTTTAGATTGTCAACATCTTTTTTATTCTATTTTTACTCTATGTTAGCTATTCTGCCCCTATGTTTACCCTCCATTTGTCACCCTTTGTGACATTTCATGAAACATACATCATCTATCCCTACATTTTGGGTAAACCAAGTCATTGGCAAGAATATTAAACAGTAAGGGGCCAACAGAGATATCCTGGGGGTCCTCCACTAGAGGTCTATTGCCACAGTGACTTTGAATTACTAACAACAACTGTTGAAGTGTAGCCATCCAATCAGTTATGAATCCATCAGATTATTTGTTGTCTAATTTAAATGTCCCCTCACCTTCTCCACAAAAAAGGTATGAGATACTTTATCAAAAGCTTGGTTTAAAAATCTAGGTAAACTATAACCACATTACCTAAATCTACTAGTTTAGTAATCCTGTCAAGAAAGGAAATGCGGTTAATCTGGAATGACCTTATGAATTCATGCTGGCTCTGCTTCCTCTTCTGGATGTCAACCATGCCTTTAAATGATCCATTCTCAAATTTTCCTAGCAACTGATGTCAAACTCACTGATCTACATTTTGCTTTCCTTAAAAAAAATGAGGCCATTTGACCATCATCTTGTGCTAACCTCTCCCCTTTGCCATGACCTTTCAAATATCACTGATCACAATCACACCGGCCAGTTCTTTTAGGATCTGAGGATGCGGTTTATCTGGTCCAAGTGACTTGGTCCAAGTGAATTCATCAAATGAAGGCAGGGGTTCTCTTACCACCTCCTTATTTATCTTGAGTATCAGCTTTCTGTTGGCCATTTTTGTTTTCTCACTTCTACCATAAAGGTCATTATTCTTGGCAGAGAAAATAAAAACAAAGACTGTTTCATTCACCCCAAGCAATGGTCCTACTTCCTTCTTGGATTCTCCTTTTTCTCCCAATGTAGTGTGGGATTGGGTAGGGAGAAGCCTTTTTATTGTCCTTCCTTTCCCTTGCTAGTTTCAGGTCATTCTAAGCTTTCTCATTCCTTAGGTTAGTTTTACAGGACCATGACACATTCTCTCTCTCTTTTTTTTTTTTTGCAGGGCAATTGAGGTTAAGTGACTTGCCCAGGGTCACACAGCTAGTAAGTGTCAAGTGTCTGAGGCTGGATTTGAACTTAGGTCCTCCTGACTCCAGGGCTGGTGCTCTATCCAATGTGCCACCACCTAGCTGCCCCCGACACACTCTTATGTTTGTTTTCTGTTACCCTGACTTCATTTCATTTTCTGCACATTTCTTTTAAAAATCTAAGTTGGTTGACAAGTTCCTTGTACATCTACATCTCTCCAGACACATCCCACTTTTTTCTTCTCATTGGAATCATTTCCCTTTGTATCTTCAGAATGTCATTCTTGATTTTCCATCCCTCCTGGACTGACTTCCTCTGATTCATTTTACTCCATGAGATTCTACCTATATTCCTCCACTCTACCCCTTCCTCAATGATCCCAATGTCTGTCAAAAACCATGACTGAATTAAAAGCTATTGTGCCTCTTAACCCAAGAACAAGTGGTCATATCTAAAATCATTGACAGATAGCAGATAGTTGCCATCAATGACAAACATTAACTGGAAGAATTATTCCTTTGTCTTCCATGGACTGAAAAACATCATAGAATCACAGAATTTGAGAGCTGGACAGAACCTTAGTGGTCATGAAGTACAACCCCTACATGAAAAGAATTTCCCACTATGACATACCCAACAAGGGGTCCAGTCTCTGCCTCTATACTTCCAAGATGGAGGATCACACCACCTTTCAAGACAGCCCATTCTACTTTTGGACAGCTCTAATTTTTAGAAAGGATTTTCTGACATAAGCCTAAAGTTACCTGATTTTTCCACCTTTACCTTTTGCTCTTGGTTTTCCTCTCTAGGACCAAACATAGCATTTAATCCTTCTTCTACATATAGCGCTTGACATACTTGAAGACAGCTATCATGATAGTTCCCTGAGTTCTCTCTTCTCCAGGCCAAACATCTCCAATTCTGTCAACTTATCTTTATCATTGTCCTCCTTAAAGCACAGCACCAGATGCTTAAACCACAATGTTCTAGAGAGCTCCGATGAGAATAGAGGATAGTGAGGTTATCAACTCCCTACTCCTGGAGAGGATAGTGAGGTTATCAACTTCCTACTTCCTCTTAATTGAGTTCTTTGTAATCACAAAAAACTGGAAAAAAAAAGTAGATGCCTATGCAATATGGGATCCCATAAACAAGCTATGGAATGTGAAAGTAATGCAATGTTACTCTGCTCTAAGAAATGATGAAGATGATGAATACCAAGAAGAATGGGAAGGCTTATGATGTAAAACGGAGTAAGCCAAACCACTAAAATAATGTATAACAATATAAATGGAAACAAGAACAACTAAATAACTGAACTTGAATGCTTTAAAATTACAAATGATCAAGCTTAGCCCTAAAGAAGAGTTATGAGAAGGCACTACCCTCACCCCTTATTTAGCTACAGTGATGAGGGACTCTGAGTATGGAACACCACATATAATGTCAAACTTTCTGAACATGTTGGATAGGTTGGCTGACCTGTTTTTTTTTTTTTCCTTTTAAAATCCTTTGGGATTATTCTCTGGAAGGGGAAGGTGGGGAGCAACGCACTGGAAAATGTAGGTGACACAGAAAGAAAAAAGATCAATTTAAACATTTTTTCTAGAAATCCAGTACTCCTTTTTTGTATACCACAATATCACTCCACCTAGATACTGCTTCTCAACAAACACCTTTCAAAACCTCTGATGTGAGTCAGTACACTTGCTTTTGCTGGTAGGCTGAATTGCAAGGTGACTTAATGGGAGATTTATTTAACAACTGTGGAACTCAATTCCTTAGATCTTCCAAGAACCAAAACCTATTGCTTCTTCATGCTCTTAGAGCTTCCATCAGGTTTGAGATTAACACACATAATGAGCCAACTAAAAGGAGACAACTAGGACATCCTGAGCATTTCAAATGTGTTTACTTACTAGAACATTCCTAGAGCTTTTCTGTTATACAACTGGTGGCATTAACTTGACAGATACCTGAAAATAAAGTTGTTAAGCAGAACAAGGTTTCTGACAGTCTTAAAAACAGCTCCTTTGAAAAAGGCTAGAAATCTACAGGTTGGCCAAAGAACAAGGATCTTCTGTGTTGGGTGGCCTACATTGGATGTGTCTACATGTTAATTTTTCACACTGCTCTAAGTATAATATATAAATTGCAGGCTACACCCACAATTATTTATATAGAATTTTATCTCATGTAGAATCCTAGTCCTTGCAAAAACAAGCCCAAAATGTCTAAGAATCTCTAAAACTGCTAAGCTGATTTTTAAAAATGAAAAAAAAAAAACTAGAAAGAATTATAACATACCTTTTAGCTTTTTGTCCTGACCCCACCAAATTACAGAGTAGAATTAGCACTTTGCTCCCATTCCCAGAAGGCAAAGATTCAGCTGGTAAGGTAGCCAACTGTGGGAGGTTCTGTCCTATGTGTTTGTTGAACTGAATATTGGAGGGACAACCTAAAAGAAAGAATGAATATAGGAGAATTAAGTTTCTATGTTTATAAGAACTGCTCTACTGGATTTAAGTTCATAGTCATTTCATTCTAGAATTCTGTTTCAAGTATCAAGGAGGCAGTGAAAAAGAATGGTGGATCTAGAGGACAGAGAGAGAGAGAGAGAGAGAGAGAGAGAGAGAGAGAAAGGGAGATATCTTGGATCTGAGGCCCATGAATCACATGATCATGGTCAAGTCACAACTTCTAGGCATTTTAGGATCCTTGGTGATATTTGCATTACCTACCCTCATAAAGTATTAAAAGAAAAGCATATTGTAAACCTGAAAGCATGGTATAAATGTGAACTGCTATTATTATTAGCAAAGTGAGGAGGGGATAGGTATTTACACAACACTTGCTATGTGCCAGATACCGTGCTAAATGCACTGCAAATATTATTTCACTTCACCCAACTTGCAAAGGACCTAGTATGACTACCTGTCATGACACGAACTTCAAAAAGTTAGAAGGCTTTGTTTAATATACAGGAGCATATCAGCTGCAGCATCATTTCTGACTTTTGTCAAATGAAAGAAGAATTAACTTCGTAACCTAATACCTATACTACATACCTTGTATATAAGGAGACAATATCATTAGCTAAGAATAAACAAAGTGCCTCTGTTTGATTGTTGTAGAATTTATATCTGTTTTTAGTTAATGAGATAATGTATACATATATGCATTGCACGTGCGCACACGCACACACACATATATCCCTTGACTGTTTAAACCTGCAAACACTGCATCAAAAGTCCTTCACAATATTGGCCCAACACAAGGTCATCCTAACCCAATTCTCAGGCAGAGTAGAAAGAAGCAATGCAGCTGAGCACTCATCTACAACTCCTCCGAAAAGATCTATTAAATACACAAGGTCAAATCCTGATGGAGAAATCCAGAAAAAGTCAGAGAGAGTCCTTTGTCTGGCCCAGGTTGGCAGAGGAAGACAAGCAGAGCTGTGCAGATATGGAAGATGGGGTCAGGGCAACAGCATGCAGCAAAGCACGAAAACGCCAGTGCTCAGCACACAAGCACAAAAGGAAATCTCAATGGCAAGAGGTGCCAACTGGCAGCTTCATGACCCACTACATAGCCCTGGATCACAGATCTAGAGTAGAATGAGATGGCAACATGTGCACAGCCAGGGCATTAATAGGTTGAGAGGGCCTGGTGGTATACAGATAAAAGAGGAAGTTCAGAAGCCAGCAGCATCAGTGATGTGGTCCAGATCCCCAAGCTCTTAATACAGTCTGACTTCCAGCATCTAGTCCAGCCTGCAAAGAATAATCTAGGCAGGAAACTCATACCAAATGGGAGCCTATAATTCTGTCACATTGAACCAGCAGAGCTTTATGGCTAGCTGATAAGGGCATAAGTCTAGCAGCATGCTACTGTTGCTTAGACACAAGCACAGTCAGGAACTTGCTGGGCTGGGACCAGGAGGTAAGCAATTAGACTTTGCCCTGGATCAGACCCTTTTGGAAGCAATAAAAACTTAAAGGGTCCCTAGCCTACCCCTGAGATACTAGAATAACACAACACTCAATACTCCAAGAAAGCAGTAAAAGGACCAGTCCAGAACTTCCCTCCAAAGTGTGGCAGAACCCAGCCCTAACATCCAGTCCAAAGTCAGAGAGTAGACTGGAAGAATGGACAAACAAAAACAGAACCACATAATTATGTGTTATTATGATGGAACGGATGCTCAAGGCACAAGTGTATCTAGCACCTAAAACATCCACAAACAATGCCTCAGGAAAAAACACAGCTTGGGCACAAATTCAACTAGAATTCCTGGAATCAATGAAGCTTTAGCAATGAAGAGTTATAAAAAAAAATTTAAATGTTTTTGTTAATAAATGAAATAAGAAACCTTGATATAAAAAAATGGAAAAGAAATGTGAACTATGAAAAAAAGAACTGGAAAGGGAATTAACAGCTTGACACATAAGGTACAAAACCTTGCCTGAGCAACAAACTCCCTGAAAATTAAAACGGATCAGGTAGAAGCTAAGAAATATTAAAGCAAAAGTCAAAAGGCTAAAAAAATGGATGAATATGTAAAGCATCTTATAGCAAAAACAACTGACCTGGAAAACCAATAGAGGATTAAAAAAATTAAAAAATCATTGTACTATTTGAATATCATAACCAAAAGAAAAAAAAAGCCTATAAAAGAAAAAAATTCTATTTCTTTCTTTCTTTCTTTCTTTTTGGACAAGGCAACTGGAGTGAAGTGACTTGCCCAGGGTCACACAGTTAGTAAGTGTCTATTATCTGGTCTGAAACCAGATTTGAACTCAGGTCCACCTGACTCCAGGACCAGTGCTCTATCCAATGTGCCCCCTAGCTGCCCCAAAAAATTCTATTTCAAGAAATCTTAAAAGTACCCAGATCTCTTAAAACCACAGGGCAAAGTAGAAATAGAAAGCATCCAACAGTTACCTCTTAAACCCCAAAATGAAAACTCGCATGAATATCCTAGTTAAAATCCAGAGCTTCTAGGTCAACAAAAAATACCACAGGCAGCTGAAAGAAAGAATTCAAACACTGAGGAGCAACAGTTGGAATCACATATGATTTAGCAACTACCATTATAAATCAACAGAGAACTTGGAATACAACATTCCAGAAGGCAAGGTTTTACTTTTACCCAGCAAATGCTACAGAGGCATTTGCTATGGGGGTAGGAGTGTGGAAATAGCTCTTTAATAAAAGAGAGGACTTCTAAACATTCCTGATGAAAAGACCAGAGTTATGGAGAAACTCTCAAGTTCAAACACAGGAGTGAAGAGAAGCATAAAAAGGTTAAAATGAATGAAAAATGTCAAATGCGACCTCAGGCACTTGACACTTACTAGCTGTGTGACCCTGGGCAAGTCACTTAACCCCAACTGCCTCACCAAAAATTCAGCAAAACAGAACAAAACAAACAAAAAAAAGTGAACGAATAATGATAAGGAATTAAAGAAGAATAAATTGCTTACATTTTAATATGGGGAGATGATACATGTGTCACCTCTGAATTCTAGAGGGAGTCTAATTACAGTGAATGCCTGGAAATAGTTCTGTTATGATTTGATAATCTTAAGAGAAGAATGGAAAAAGAGGGTAAGAGGAATACACTGGGGGCTGGGGAAAGAAAAGGAAAGTTAGCAAAAATTATCTCACATCATCAGGGAGTTCAAATAGATATCTATACAAACAAGGAGGAAGGATAGGGGAGCAGGTGACATTTGAACCTCACTCTCCTCTGAACTAGTCAAAAGAGGGAATATAAACACAGTTACTTATAAAAATACATTTCATTTAACAGGGAAATAGGAGGAAATGGGGAGAAGAGGAAATTAGAGGGAAGGTAAGTAGAATAAGGGAAGGATTAGTCCTAAACAACATAAACTCTAAGGATGTACAAAAATATTTATAGATCTTTTTCAAGTGACAAAGAGTGAGAATCTAAGGGGGTGCCCATCAGTTGGGGAATGGCTGAACCAAGTGTGGTTCATACACGTGTTGAAATACTTTTGTGCTTAAAGAGACAATAAAGGGTATGGTTTTGGAGACACCTGGAAAGACTTGAATGAACTGGTACAGAGGGAAGTGAACAAAGCCAGAACAATTAATACTGACAACTGACAACAACATGTTAAAGACAAACAACTCTGAAAGATTACGAACTCTGATCAGTGTACAATTTCATGATAAAACATGTTACCCATCTCCTGATAGTCAGGTAAAGGACTCAGAGTGCAGAATGAGACTTTTTTCTTTTGGACATGACCAGTATAAAAATTTATTTTGCTTGACTATGTATGTTACGGAAGTAATACATATTTTACATATAGTTTATTTAGGGATAATTAGATAGGATCTTTAAACTACAAGTTATAAGTTCATTGTTCACTAAGCTGTTATAAAGTTCACCGGCCTAACCACAAGAATGCTGACCAAAGGACTTCCACTTTTTGGCCCCTAACACCAAACCCAGCGTGGCTGGGATGTCTTGACACGATGTGGAAAGTCCCCCAACTTATTTTTGTACATTTGGACCACCCTCTCTTGCCTAACATGAGGAGGGGCCCATCTTATGACCACTTGGTCATGGAGATGATCCTTGCCAATCCTATGACCACCTGTGCTGATGGATCATTTCTGGCCCTCCTGGAAGGTCAAAGTCAAGTTCTATCAACCAATGAGACTCTGTATTTTACTTTGCCTCTTAAGTGCATCTGGGTATCAAGCCCTAAAACAGTAAGGCCCTGGGAAAGGGGGCATCTCAGATTGTGAGGAAGATCTTTTTCATTTCATTAGAGGAAGCCACAGACTCTTTAATAAAGTGCTACTGGCTCAGAGCTCTGCCTCAGTCTCTTTTATTGTAAACTGGACAATTTTGGAGCCCTTTTCTTTGCTCTCTTTGGGATACAGACCTAGTAGCGGTATTGCTGGGTCAAAAGGTATGCACAGTTTGATAGGCCTTGGGCAATAGTTGCAAGTTGTTCTCCAGAATGGTTGGGCCAAATTCACAACTCCACCAACAGTGCATCGGTGCACCTATTTTTCTCACATCCCCTCAGAGTGGAATTTCTTAAAAACAAAACTGAATAATCAGGGAGGCCAACAGAAGGAAGGGGCCTAAGAGTTGAGGTGGATATGGATTAGTAGGTGGGCAGTGATAACAGAGCAAAAATTGTTTTTCTGAATCATAGAAATAAGGGGAAGAAGAGGTGCTAATCACAGGAATAGGGAAATTATCAGTTGAATAAAACTACCCAGGGTCCCTTTTTTCTCTCAAGATACAAGGGAACAAGAGGTAGAGGCCAGTAAATACCTTTTCATAAAATCCATAGGGACTTCATTGAACTCATAATTGGTACCACTACTTTTACTTCATCTCAAAAAGGTGGGGGATGCATATAAAACATGCCATGTGTAAAATGTGCACTCAGCTCCCAGTCAAGCCTATTAATGGAGACTGTGGTCCCAGACAGGGTCCTGGCAGCATGATGCCTAGTATTTGGGTGCTCTGTGGTTACTGAAGGCTGAGTTGTAGCTAAGATGGTTTTTTAGAGTTAAGTGAAACAGGACAAGGTAAATACTGCAAGAGGTTCTGAGGTAAAGAGGCTTTCAAGAGTAATCCTTTGGTATTGGGGCTGAAGTGTGATGAAAATGAGAGAAATAAAGAAACTCTGGACTCTGGAGGAGAGAGTGGGGCTGATGATTTTGCACAGCTTTGCCTCACTCAAATCCAATTCACTTGCAAATCAAGACACCACCCTCCAGATGTCATTGGTACTCTTCGAGAATGAAGGACAAACAACAATCTGTGAGGAGTAGTGGTAGCTGCCCCAGCCCCTCCCCTCTGAGGAACCCAACAGGCTAGTTCCAGTTGAGCAATGCTGCTATTTCCTTCTTCTCTAATTCCTCCTCTTCCTCTACCTGTGTGGGGAGACATACACTATATGTGGGTGCTCTGTCTAAAGGATTATAAATTTTGACTGCTTATATTTTGCAAAGTATCTTAGGGTTTAGAGGCTAGATTTTTTTTCCTTTTCTACTTATTTAGTCTATCATTGTTTTTTGTTTTCTTTTTTTAATGGGACAATTAACTCTTTTGTTTCAGGTAGTTTTCATTTATGATTTCTTGAACTATCTATAGCTCTGGAAAACCAGGATTTGATAAAGTCCATTGGGATTCAAATAGAGCTACCTGACTATGCCTTTAAACCCAAAGCACTCTGGCTCTCACTGATTGAACAATAATAGGTCCCAGTCCCAGCCCAAGCCTCACTTGCTCATTGTTTGGGTTTTTATGGCTCAGAGTGTAAATAGCAATTGTTTCTGTTTTGGCCAGAAACTTTGAGGGTCTTCTCCTCCCAGACTGATCCTTTTGTGAAGGCAAAGTAGGCCATTTTTTACCTCAATTCTTACCTAACCTTTAACTACTGAATGGGTGTTGCCTAAAACAAACTGAGACCTAGTCATTCTGACCTATGTCTTGCCTGGACTCCTGTGACTCTAGAGGAGAGAGTGGGGCTTATGACTTTGCACAGTTCTTCCACCAAATCTAATTCACTTGCAAGTCAAGACATCGCCCTCACTGGTCCTCTTTGAGAAAGACAGAACAACAACAACAAACAAACAAATGAACAACAAAAACCAAGGAGATGATATGGAACAAGAAACACATCTAGGTGAGATTAAATTGATAGTTTTTTTTTCTATTGGCCAAGTACATTAAGAGCACACTTGTATATTTTGTGAAATGAAAATCAACTGATAAGCAATCTACAACCTTCTGTTTAACATCTACTGAAAATTTATTTGAATTTTAGAATGTTAGAAATAACTTATTAAATATCTCCATAAAAAAGATCAGGAAAACTCTGACAGTCCAAAGTGCAGACATCAAAATATTTATGTTCCATGAATCATACTACCTCAACATCCAATTCAAAATCTGAATAGGATGCTACATAGTAACATTTTACCTGAGAATGTGGTAGGAACTCCCCAGATGGGTGACCAGGGAGCTTGGAAAGCATACACGTTGTCTCCTTCTGAAATGTCATTCAAGTCCTCTTCATCAAAGAAAGAACGCTGGAATCCACTGGGGGACAACTCAACCAGAACCACCTGGAATGGAGAAAGTTGTTTCTTTTAATTTTTAAAGCAGTAGCCAACACAGCAAACAAAGTAAAAAATGACAACATAAGACCTTAGTATAGTAATACCCCTTCTTTCAAAATCAAGAGGTGTAGCAGAAGCCCTCATCCTCTCTAAGTCTCTCACTGAGCAGCTGCATAAGATTTTCACCTTTCCTATTTCACAGAAAGGCTATCTCTAGTTCTGAGATGATCATCACAGAAATATATAGGGAAAAACCCCCAAACATGTAATCATTGTTTTAAAACAACACTGCAGAGGGGTGGAGCCAAGATGGCAAAGTAAAAGCAGTGACTTGCTTTAGCTCTCCCCCAAAACCCTCCAAATACCTGTAAAAAATGACTCTAAACAAATTCTAATGCAGCAGAACCCACAAAAAGACAGAGTGAAACAAATTTCCAGCCCAAGATAACTTGGATGGTTGATTAGAAAGGTCTATTGTGCCTGGCTGGGAGAGAAACACAGTTCAGCGTGGGTGTGGAGGCAAAGACCAGGCCTCAGTGAACCTGGAGCAGGCCTCAGGGGACTGAATCACAAGCAGCTGTGGTGGTTTCCAGACATCTCGACCCACAAATGCCAAAGACAACTTAGAAGGTCAGTAGGAAAAGTCTGTGACCACAGTGAGAGAGAAGCCAGGTCCCAGCCCCAGTCCCAGCACACCAGAGGAGGGGCAGCTGCTTCCTGAGCTATTGGCCCACAGACTGAGGGAGAATCCAGTAGCTGATCAGAGGAGGATTGCAGAGATCTCTTTGCTGGTGCTGAGGCAGGATTCTCTCACTTTGCCCATGCTTGGATCTGGGTCACAGTTCTGGGTGGTGATCCTGGGGCGAGGAGAAGTGCTGGCACGGTGGAGCAGGAATCCTCTTCACAGTTCCAAGGCAGAAAAGAGTGCTTGTAGTCACTCATAGACCAGAGCACAGACCAGGAAAGGAGTAAAGCCCTCACCCTTGATCATACCACTTTGAAAGAACTGAAAACTTACAGATTCCTAGAAGTATCTCTGAAAACAGCTGCACAAAACCTAAGAAACTTGGAACAGTACATTCTCCACACAGGAACTAGACCCCTACCTTAACAAAAAGTTTAAAACTCAAGTAATTGTTTGGGATCATGAGCAAACTGTGCAAAAAAAGTCAGACCACAGAATCTTACTTTGACAAAGAAGATCAAAACATACAACCAGAAGAAGACAACAAAGTCAAAGCTCCTACATCCAAAGCCTCCAAGAAAAATATGAATCAGTCCCAGGTCATAGAAGAGCTCAAAAAGGATTTGGAGAAGCAAGTAAGGGAAATAGAGGAAAAACTGGGAAGAGAAATGAGAGTGATGCAAGAAAATCACGAAAAACTAGTCAATAGCTTGCTAAAGAAGACCCAAAAAAATACTGAAGAAAATAACACCTTAAAAAGTAGTCTAACCCAAATGGCAAAAGAGGTCCAAAAAGCCAATGAGGAGAAGAATGCCTTAAAAAACAGAAATGGCCAAATGGAAAAGGAAGTCCAAAAACTCACTGAAGAAAATAATTCCTTAAAAATTAGAATGGAACAATTGGATGCTAGTGACTTTATGAGAAATCAAGACATTGTAAAACAAAACCAAAAGAATGAAAAAATAGAAGACAATGTGAAATATCTCATTAGAAATAGAAAAGCAACTGATCTGGAAAATAGATCCAGGAAAGAGAATTTTAAAATTATTGGACTATCTGAAAGTCACGATCAAAAAAACAGCCTAGACATCACCTTTCAAGAAATTATCAAGGAAAACTGTCCTGATATTATAGAACCAGAGGCTAAAATAGAAATTGAAAGAATCCACCAATGACCTCCTGAAAGAGATCCCCAAAGGAAAACTCCTAGGAATATTGTTGCCAAATTACAGAGTTCCCAGGTCAAGGAGAAAATATTGCAAGAAGCCAGAGAGAAACAATTCAAGTATTGTGGAAACACAATCAGGATAACACAGGATTTAGCAGCTTCTACGTTAAGGGATCAGAGGGCTTGGAATATGATATTGCAGAGGGCAAAGGAAATAGAATTACAGCCAAGAATTACCACCCAGCAAAACTGTGTATAATCAATGAGGAGAAAAAATGGATATTCAGTGAAATAGAGGACTTTCAAGCACTCTTGATGAAAAGACCAGAACTGAATAGAAAATTTCACTTTCAAATACAACAGAATACAAAATCAAGAGAAGCATGAAAAGGTAAACAGGAAAGAGAAATCATAAGGGACTTATTAAGGTTGAACTGTTTACATTCCTATATGGAAAGATGATATTTTTAACTCATGAGACCTTTGTCAGTATTAGGTGGTTGGAGGGGGAAAAAATTTACATATGAGGATAGATTGACAGATAGAGGGCACAGGGTGAGTTGAAGATGAAAGGGTGATATCTGGAGAATAAAATTAATGGGTGAGAGAGAATTATACTGAGAGGAGAAAGGGAGAGGTAGAATGGGGTAAATTATCTCACATAAAACAGATAAGAAAAGGCTTTTAACAGTGGATGGGAAGTGGGGGAAGGTGAGAGGGAATGAGTGGATCTTATTCTCATGGGATTTGGCTTAAGGAGGAAATAACATACATACTCAATTGGGTATGGAAATCTATCTTACCCTACAGGAAAATAGGGGGAAGGGGATAAGAGAGTAGGGGGATGATAGAGGGGAGCGTAGAATGGGGGAGGGGGTAATCAGAAGCAAACACTTCTGAGGAGGGACAGATTCAAACGAGAGAATAGAATAAACAGGGGGTAGGATAGGATGAAGGGAAATATAGTTAGTTTTCCACAGCGTGACTACTATGGAAGTGTTTTGCATGACTACACAAGTATAAACTATATTGAGTTGCTTGCCTTCTCAATGAGGGTGGGTGGGGAGGGAGGAAGGGAGAGAATTTGGAACTCAAAGTTTTAAAAACAAATGTTAAAAAATTGTTTTCACACGCAACTGGGAAATAAGATATACAGGCAATGGAGTATAGAAATCTATCCTGCCCTACAGGAAAATAGAAGAGGAAGGGGATAAGAGAAAGGGCAGGGGAGATAGAACAGAGGGCAGATTAGGGGAAAGGGTTTCCAGGATGCACACTGTGAGATGGGGAGAAAATTTGGAACTCAAAATCTTGTGGAAGTGAATGCTGAAAACTAAAAATAAATAAATTAATGAATCTTATAAAAAAGGGGGGGGGCACAAATGAGGAAACTGAGATAAAATGATATTCCCATAGTTACAAAGGCACTAAACCAGGATTTAAAACCAAGTGCTCTGAGTCTGATCTAGTGACATTTCTGCTATAACATAAAGTAGATAGAACCTAGTTGTTTACTTACTAGGAACTATAATGTGTGTATGTTTTAATGACTTTTAAAGTTAATTCACAAACTATTTATTGAATATCTACTATAAATTGAGTACTGCATTGGGGAAAAGGGGAGAAATAAGAATAGAAGACTTCTCATTTCATTAGTTTTTGTGAAATAATAATTCAATATTCTATGTAGATTTAAAAAAATAAAAAAATTAAACAACACTGCAAAAAATATCAATCTAAAATTTTCTCCTTTTAGACTGAAGCAAATAGCATAAATACCTTAGAAAAGACATAGTGAGCTACGCAGGTAACAACCTTATTTTTTCAACTATCCTGGATGTGACTCACTGGATATAGTCTCCCTTGTTCAGAAAGGGAGTATTAGGTAAAATCAGTTTAGGGCAGAGAGTATTTGGATCTGAATCCTCTTTTCAATGCTGGGATGAAGAGTATTTTTTACTAAGAAAGCAACACTACATTAGGAAGCCAGAGAGTATGACTTCTATTCTTCTTCTACTACTTATTAAGTATGTGACTTTAAGTAACCCTCGTAAATCTCAGGGAGATAGTATTTTGGAAAGCAAGAGGCTAAAGCAGGTAATTTCTTCTGACTCTCAGATATAAGATTCTAAGCTGCTACTGCCCTAGTCTGAGCCATTAGAGGACTTGGAGGGCCTGATCTTCTTGGGGCTATTCATGAACATTATACGTTATCACCTTTGGTGGGTCACCTCATTATACTTGTTACTGAAAGATCACAAAGGAAATATCCCAATTTTTGCTAAGTTATGTGCATAAATGCATATCATTACTACATATGATTAATCAAGAAAGCACTGGTCTAGTCATATGGAGAGAATGACTGATAACATATGTATCTCCAGAGTGATTCACTAGTTCCCATGAAACATAAAGACCTAAAGGAAGCCTCCTGGCAGATTACACAGACACTTGATTAAAGTGCTATGGAAAAACATGGCAACAAAGCATTCAGGATTAGAAAGGTTACAATCTTTAGCGATGGAGGGAGAACTCACATTAAAGAGATCAGAGATTCACTGTAGTACCGAAAAAGAATGCATAGCAACAAATACATCTTGCATCTTGCCAAGCAGAGTGAATTGTTTGGGAGTGGACTAAAAGTTCACAGGAGTCTGAAGCATTAAGTTTTACAAACTGGAACAAAAAACTCAGTCTTCAGCAAAAGTATTTCCAATATGTATATTATATTATCCAGCATTCCCTCGTTTCAAATTGTTTAGTTTTTGTTTCTGCTTTTTGGTGAGGCAACTGGTGGTTAAGTGACTTGTCCAGAGTCACATCCAACTAGAAAGTGTCAAGCATCTGAGGCCAGATTTGAACTCAAGTCCTCCTGACTCCAAGGCCAGAGCTTTATCCACTGTGCCACCTAGCTGTCCCCTGTTTCGTATTGTTTAGAAGGCAGCTTTTTTAATATACTGATTTACACTACTTGGCTTTGGAATCAAGAAGAAAAGGTCAGTCATGAATGATTCCAGGGGAGCAATAACACCAATTTAGTAACAGAGAAGTACTAGATTCTGAGTGCAGAATAAGATACACACACACACACACACACACACACACACGCACACACGCACACACCATTCCCACACACATATTTGTTTTGCTGGACTGTGTATATTTGTTGCAAGAGGTTTGCTTTTCTGTTTTTATAGGATAGGAGGGGAGAGAATCAATTTTTGTTAATTAAAAAAATTAATTAAAAAAAGGAGAGGGAGTAAACTGGAGCCCAGTAACAAGCAAGATAAAGAAGATCCTAATGGATGGAGGTAAAGTTGACTTTGTAGGTAAATGAGGCTTGGTGGGATGAGAACCATAACCAGAATATCAATTTGGAAAAAAAGATCATTGCAGCTTGCTCTGCAATTATCCCACCATTCCCCCTAATTTTCAACTTCAGTTCCACTGGCTCTTATCCTGCCACCTTGTAACATGTCCAAATCATTTTCATCTTTAAAAACAAACACAAAACAAAAAATCCTTTACCTAATTCTATACCATCAACTAAATTATTATGCTGTATGCTTCCTCTCTCTCAGGCCAAATTCTGAGAAAAAAAAGTCTATAGGTTATCTCTACTTTCTCACTTCCCATTCACTCCTCTACCCCTTATAATCTGATTTCCCTCCCCACTACTGAATTGAAATTCCTTTCTCTGAAATCACTGACGATTTCTTCATTGCAAAAGCCAATGTCCTTTTCTCAGTTTTCATCATTGTTGACCTCTCTCCTGCTTTGGACATAATTAACTAACTAGTACCCTTCACTACTCTGTTTCCTCAGTTTTCATGACATTGCCCTGTTGTGGTTCTCTTCTAACACAATTAAACGATTCTTTTTTTTTAAATGATTCTTCTTACAATTCTTTGCAGGTTCATCACACATGTTCTGTTCCTGTGCCCTCTCCTCTTCTCTCTCTACATTTTCTCCCTTTAGAATGTAAGCTATTTGCAGATAGGGATTATTTCATTCATTGTACTTATATTCTCAAAGTCTAGCACATTGTCTGGCATAGAATAGGAGTTTAATAATAATTGTTGATTTGACTGATTGATCTATCAGATCCCATGGATTCAACTGTCATATCTATGAAGATTATTCCCAAATCTATACAAAAAGCCCTCATCTCTCTGTGGCACTCCAATACCATTCTCTAACTATCTGCTAGAAATTTCCACTTACATATCATATAGACATCTCATATTCAATAGGTCCTAAATAAAATTTATCATCTTTCCTTATAAATCTACCTCTTTTGCGGGCAGCTAGGGGGCACAGTGGATTGAGCACCAGCCCTGAGGTCAGGAGGACCTGAGTTCAAATCCTGCCTCAGACCAAACACTTGACACTTACTAGCTGTGTGACCCTGGGCAAGTCACTTAAACCCAACTGCCTAAAAAAAAAAAATCTACCTCTTTTCCTTTATTCCCTATTTCTGTCAAAGGCACCACCATTTTTCTAACCATTCAGGTTCATAACCTCAGTCATACGTCATTCTTCTTTATTCTTCCCTTCCCCTCCAATCAGCTGTCAAGTCTATTAATTCAACCTTCTCACCATCTCTCATTATTATCCCTTTCTCATACCACAATTACCTTCATTAGGCCTTCCTCACTTCTCAGGTACATTCTTGTAGTAGCCTCCCCATAAATCTTCCTGGATCCAGGCTCTCTTCTTTCCAAATCATTATCCACACAACCACCAAATGAATATTCCTACAGTGTTAAGTCTGGCTAGGTCATTCCCTGCTCAAGAAATTTTACTGGCTTTCCATTTTCTCTAAGATAAAACATGAATTACTCTATTCAGCAGTGAAAAAGCTTCACAGCTACAGTCCATCATTCCAGGCTAATAATATGACTTCTTTTCATACCTATGTTCCAGCCAGACTGATCTACTTGCTGTACCCTGTTCACAACATACCATCTCTAGTTTCCATGTCTTTGCAAAGGCTATGCCCTTACCCAGAATGCTCTCTCTTCTTTTCTTTGAATCTTGGAACACTTAGCTCCTTTCAAGGCTCAGATCAAGGTGCCACCTTCTTCAAGAAACCTCTCTTATTTCTCCTAGTTGTTCTCCTCCATTGAAATAAATTTGTATTTATTTTGTCTTCTGTGTTTGATCATTTGTGAACACATTGTATTGCACTAATAGATTCTAAGCTCCTTGAGGACAAAAACTGTCTCACTTTTGTATTTGTACCTCCAGCACCCAACATATTTAGTAGATACTTAATAAATACTTGTTAATTGAATTGAAGAATATACATTATTATTCAAAAGAAACAGGAGCAAGATGAGGAAAAGGCAAAGTAAAATAATACTGCATGTTAACATGATACACTTAAGTTAGGAAGTCTGGGAATCTAGAAACCAGAGTAGGGAAATATAATGGAAAACACCTGCACAAAGATCAATACAGGTAAAAACAAATACATTAACACAATATTGTAAAGTCAGAATATAGTCCTGGCCACATGGACTAAGGAGCTATCATGGGAATGAGGAATTAGATTTCTTTTGTAGCAAAATCAGATTTGATTTGATTTCTAACAATTAGAGCTATACCAAAATGGCATGAGTTACCCAGGGAAATCATCATTTAAAAGTTAGGAGAAACCTTAAAGGTCAACTAGTTCAATCGCCTCATTTTATTTAAGCAATCCAAGCAAAGGCTGGATAGCTTGGATGTGATATAGAAGGGATTCTTGTTCAAGTATGAGTTGGACTTTTGAGGTCCCTTCCAACTCTGGGTTTCTGTGATTATATAAGATGACAAAATTGAAATGATGGAATAATCACTTCTGGTGAGTTATTTTTATCTTGAATTTTCAGTGCAAATACAACAAAATAATTTGCCAAAAATGCAACTCAAATTCCACTGCTAAAAATGTTCAGGTACCACTAGAACATAGTACGAAAGCTATTTCAGAATCAAAAGCAGAGCAATGGTAATGGAAATTATGATCCTATTATATCCTACAGAACCTAAATGCTAAAAAATTCAGGAGCTAATATAAAGATAATAATTCTAACCATCAATAAAAAAATTCTTTGAATGAATCTTTTCAGAGAGGGATCCAAAGTAGCTACATCACTAAATTATATGCACAGGCTTCAGTTCCCTGGAGCATTCATTTCTTTCTCAACTAGAAGTCATTCTATATCTTGAATCTCAGAAGCAAAAAACAAACAAACAAAAAACAACTAAGTATCAAATGACCTAGAAACAGTATACTATGCGATGAACTTAGGCAAATTCAAATAGAAATTCACTTTCCACTCTTAAGTTCAACAACATAAAGTGCTTTGAGTCCATCCTTCCTATCTTCTTTCTTTCCCATGAAAAACAGGGAAGAGAGAACATCCAGAAGGAGCTAATAGTTGATAGTGTCAAATGCTACAAAGCAGTCACAATTCTTTGCACACAGAACCCTTCAAATCACAGAATTTGAGTTGAAAGGAAGCTTGGAAGTCAAGCTGTCCAATTCCCACACATGAGGAAGGTGCCCAACAGGCACCTTCAGATCCTGGTCTGAAGACTTCTCTAGAAAAGGAACATATCACTCCTTTAAACAGGTTTTGCTATTTTTGGAAAGATCTAAATGTTAAGGTTTCCCCCTCCAGCCTTGGCAGTCATGACTTAGCTGACTTCTCACCCTGTAACATCCTTCCCACATGCTGGCCCCATTCTCCAATGCTGAGTGCTCTTAGGGCCTTCATTTTAGAGACAGAACCAGGCTGGCCAGGCATCCTTTCTTCCCACCTGCGCTTCTGACTTTCCAGAGTTTGCTGCTAAGCTCCCAAAGTACTTTCCCCCTTTCCCTCCTTTCAGCCCTCTTTTTCATGTACTCTTTCCCCAATTAGAATGCAATCTTGAGGACAAGGACTGTCTTTTTGCTTGCATTAGCAGCCCCAGCATTTGGCATAGTGCCTAGCACTTAATAAACACATGTTGCTTTCCTGCTTGCCTACTAACCACTCTATTTAAAATTGGAGTTCTGTTATTTTACTATTCCTTATTTCCAAGAAATGTGTGGTATTTTCAAATTTTCTCATAAGCTAGCAAAGAGACACCTGCTACTCTTCTTATACCACCGAGGGGAGGGAAAGAGTCAAAGAGGGGAAGTGATTTGTTCAAATCACTGGATAGCTCCCATAAAGTGCTTTACAGTTTACAGAGTATTTTCCTCACAACCATCCTATGACATAAGTAACACAAGTATTATCATCCCCATTTTACCAATGTGGAAACCAAGGCTCAGAGAGGCCAAATGATTTGGTCAAGGTCATACTGCCAGTAAGTGGCAGAAATAGGACTCCAACTCAGGTCTTATGACTCTAAGCTCAGTATTCTTTTTATTATCAAAAGTAGCCTCTCAAAAAGGATTTTTAAAAATATTTTAGTTGTTAAACCTGAAGGCCTCTTACTATTATCTAATCTTCTATTAACCTTTCATTAGCACAAGATCCATATACAATTTCTATGGCAAAAAAGGATGTCCAATAAATGTCAATCAGGAAAGGACTAGACTTCATATACTTTTTAAGATGAAAGTTATGTTCCCTTCTAGTCAAACTACTGAGTCCAGAGACAAAAACTATACATGGCCAGATCATGTTACTTGGAAACCTAGTGATGAATGAATATGCAATGAAATAACAATTTATGAGTGACACAGCTATCATTATTTAGTTTAATCAATCTAGATTGCTAAGCCAAACATCTTCCTATTATTTTGGAGTTCAGCACCTATTAAATTTAATCCCATCAAACCTCATTAGCTGTGATTTTGCCTTCTTCTGCTACCATCTTTCTCAGGGTTGCCACTGTGCTGAAAAGTGGCACTGCCAAACCAATCCTCAAGAACCTGTGACTCTTGTACTGGAAGACCAATGTGACATTTAAGGACCTGGAAAACAGAAAGAACATATTTCTGGAAAGACTGAAATGAATGGCACTTCTGTGTCACAAATTACCAGGTTCAGCATTTAAGAAGTTAATTTCTGCTTCTGTATTTTAAAATACACTTGAGAGTCACAATTTTACAAGGACTCATTATGGTAGGTCTCTGCTACACACCAGGAACGCAAATTTTAAAGTCACAGAGTTAAAATGTTCATTTTTTTCAATTATTAAGCATTTTTTCTCCCTCACAACTCTCCCCATTCACTTAAAAAAGAAAAGAAATAGGAAGAGAAAGACAGAAAAGAGAATGAGGAAACAAGCAAGAAAGAATCAGAATCACTGCATCATATAAGTATAGTCAAGTAAAACTAAATTCCCACATTGGCCATACACAAAAACTTGTTTCTCATTCTGCATATTGGCACATCATCTCTGTGTCATAAGATGGTCAATATTATTCATTAGTCTTCAGGGATCATGGCTGATTATTTCATAATCAGAATTCTTAGGTCTTTCAGAATTGTTTTTATAATATTGATGTTATAGTATAAATTGTTCTCCTGGTTCTGCTCACTTCACTCTGCATCAGTTCAGGCAAGACCTGAGTTTCTGAAACTTCTTTTTCTTCATTTATTATAGCACAGTAGCTTTCCTTTATATTCATATGCCATAATGTGTTCCGATATTTCTTAAGTAATAGAAACTCTTTTAGTTTCCAGTTCTTTGCCACCACAAAAAGAATTGCTATAAATACTTTTGTACACATAGGACATTATCCTCTTTCTTCAATCTCTTTGGACATATGTCTAGTAGTGGTATTGCTAGGTCAAATGACATGCATGTATTGTTTAGTAATTTGGGGGTGGGAAGGATAATTTAAAATTGCTTTCCAGAATAGCTAGACAAATTCATAGCTCTACCAACAGTGCATCAATGTGCCTGTTTTCCTGAATTCCTTCCAACATCTGTCAGCTTTGCCAATCTTATAAGTATGAAGAAGGAACTCAGAATTGATTTAATTAGCATTTCTCTATTAGTGATTTGGAGAATTTTTTTCATATGGCTAGAGATCATTTGGATTTCTTCCCCTAAAAATTGGATTTTCAAATCATTCAACCTTTTTTATCAATTGAGGAATGGCTCTTATTCTTATAAATTTTATTCAGTTCCTTACATGTCTTGGAAATGAGAACTTTATCAGGTAAACTTGCTACATGATATCATTCTTAATTAATAAGCAAAACTGAGCACATTTTTAAATAAACCCTAGATTTAAAGATAATGCTTCTGTGGAGCAAAACTTCTAAAAATGAATACTAAAACACAGAGAAGTATCTTCCACATTGCTTCATATTAGCTTATATTCAGTATAATCAACAGCGTGGTTCAGTAGAAGAACTGACTCACATAGAAGTTAATTCAACAGAATCTGCGACATTTACTGCCTCCTGCTACCTTAGGCAAATCAGCTGAACTCCTGTGCCTCAGTTTCCTCATCAATAAAATGAGGAAGTTGGTTTAAATGGCTTCTATACAAAACCTTTACTGTATAAAACTTCTGACCTAGGGACTTATATTCCGAAGAGATCAAAGGCAAAGGAAATAGGTACAACTGTACACATACAAAAATGCACTATGAAAATATTCATAACAGCACTTTTTGTTGTAGCAAAGAACTAGAAACAAAGTAGGTGTACATCAACAGGCTGAATAATTTTATGTAAATGTAATATAATATACTATGCTATAAGAAATGATAAAAGGCAGGTGCTTAATAAATGCTTTAAAAAAATTTAATCTACCATCCACATGAATGTTCTTTTCTGGTATTCTCTTCTCCAGGTAAAATATTTATAATTCCTTTCATTGATTTAGCCATAATCCATGCCCTTTATCACCCTGCTCATCCTTCTCAGGATGGTCTTCAGCTTGTTAATGTACTTTTTAAAATATGGTACTCAGTCTTGGGGTGGGGGGAGGGGCAAGATGGGGAGAAAATTTGGAACTCAAAATCTTGGGGAAATGAATGTTGAAAACTAAAAATAAATTAATTTTTTTTAAAAAGGAAAAAAGTATAGCTTTCAAAAAAAATAAAATAAAATAAAATACGGTACCCAAATGTGGTAGAAGGAAGGTTCATACACAGTGAAAGGTATGCTGTCACTTTAGGTCTTTTTTTCATAAGAAGTTGTTAATGATGAAAAGTGCTCTTGTTCAAAGGAAAAGGTTTGTATTCATTTTGAAGTTATATATGAACATTTCTGATACCTAATATAAGTAGAAAAATAACTTTGTTTTAATATATGCTTCTAAAATACCTGTATGAAGAAACAGCTTTCAGATGGGATTTTGGCCAGTTTTAGAGAGAAAATGACTCTTAGTATAGACTTGCCTTAATGCTTTTCCAACATCAGGATCTTTTCTAATGAATCCTGTTTTCTCATTATGTAGTCGAAGTATTTAAGCTTGAGCTTTGTTATTTGACCTTCTGAAAAATAGTCTTAATTTCTTTAAGTATTGACTAATTTGATCTCCTTGCTGTCCAAGGGACTCTCAAATGTCTTTTCCAGTACCACAATTTGAAAGGATCACTTCTGTGACACTCAGTTTTCCTTACAGTGCAACTCCTACAGCCATACATTGCTACTGGAAAAACCATAGCTTTGACTAGATGGACCTTTGTTGGCAAGAAGATGTCTCCGCTGTTTAATATACATTCAGATTGGCCATAGTTTTCCTTCCCAGAAACAAGTACCTTTTAATTTCATGGCTGAATCTCTGTCTGCAGTGATCTTTGAACCCCGAAATATAAAACCTGAAACTGCTTCCATTTCTTCTCCCTCTACTTGCCAAGAAGTGATGAGACCAACTGTCATGAACTTAGTTTTTTTGATGTTAAGCTACAAGCCAGCTTTTACACTCTCCTCTTTCACTCTCATAAAGAGGCTTAATTCTTCTTCACTTTCTGCCATCAGAGTGGTATCACCTGCATATCTGAGACTGTTGATATTTCTTGCAGCAACCTTAATTTTGGCTTTTGATTCATCTAGCCTGGCATTTCCCACGATATACTCTGCATATAAGTTAAATAAATAAGGTAATAACATACAGCCTTGTACTTCTCCAATCTTAAACCAATCAGCTATTCCATACTCAGTTCTAACTGTTGCATCTCGACCTGCATACAGGTTTCTCAAGACCCGGTACTCCCATCTCTTTGAGGACTTTCCACATTTTGTTGTGATCCACACAGTCAAAGGCTATAGTGCAGTCAATAAAGCAGGAGGAGATTTTTTTTTCTGGAACTCCCTTGCTTTTTCCATAATCCAGCAAATGTTGGCAATTTGTTCTCTAATTCCTCTGCCTCTCTAAAAACTAGTATGCTCTTCTGGTAATTCTCACTTCACATATTGTTGCAGAATCTTAAGCATAACCTTGCTGGTATGTGAAATGAGTGCAATTGTTTAGAAATTCAAACATTCTTTGGCATTGCCCTTCCTTAGGATTGGACAACTGTTCTTTTCCAAACCAGGGCCACTTAAATTTTCCAAATTTGCTAGCATATTGAATGCACTTTAACAGCATCATCTTTTAGGATTTTAAATAACTGAGCTGGAATTCCATCACCTATGTTACTTTATTGTTAGCAACACTTCCTATTGTTAGCCCACTTGACTTCATTCTCCAGGATGTCTGGCTCAAGATCAGTAACCATACCACCATGGCTATCAATGATGTTTAGATCTTTCTTGTATAGTTCTTCTGTATAGTCTTGCCACCACTTCTTAATCCCTTAAGTCCCTACCACTTTTATCTTTTATCATTCCCATTTCTGCATGAAACATTCCCTTGATATCTCTAATTTTCTTGAAGAGGTCTCATCTTTCCCATTCTATTGTTTCCTTCTATTTCTGTGCAATATACACTTAAGAAAACCTTATCTCTCCCTGCTATCCTCTGGAATTCTGCATTCAGTTGGGTTTATCTTTCCCCTTCCCCTTTACCTTTCACTTTCTTTCTTTCCTCAGCTATTTGTAAAGCCTCAGCAGACAGCCATTTTACATTCTTGTTCTTCTTTTTCTCTAGAATATTTTTTTCTTGCTACCTCCTATACAATATTACAAACCTCTGTCCATAGTTTTTTGGGTACTCTATCTAACAGATCTAAGCTCTTAAATCCATTAATCACTTCCATTTCATAAGGAATGCTATTTAGATCATATCCATACATCTGATGGTACTTTCTTCAATGTAAGTCTGACTTTTGCAATAAGAAGCTTATGAGATGAGCCACAGTCAGCTCCAGGTCTTGTTTTAACTGACTATATATAGAGTTTCTTCACCTTTGGCTACAAAGTATATAATCAATCTGATTTCTATATTGACTACTTGGTGATGTCCATGTGTAGAGTACTCTTTGGGTTGTTGAAAAAGAGCGTATGCTATGACCAGTGAGTTATCTTGACAAAACTCTCTTAGTCTCTACCCTACTTCATTCTGTACCCCAAGGCCAAACTTGCCTGTTAATCCAATTATGTTTTGATTTCCTACGTTAGCATTCCAATCCCCTATGATGAATATATCTTTTTTTGATGTTGTTTCTAGAAGACTTTGAATGTCTTCGTACAACTGATCATAGTTAACTGAAAGAGCTTCAAAGGCTACATTCCAGTAGAGAAGAGGATTTCTTCAACTGAAGAGTAATGCAGATCAACAGTCAAGCAGTGAGCAGAGTAGCAGTTTAGGGTAGAGCCAATGTTCCTGAATGGACTGCTGAAACAATGTGTTTTAAGGATATTTTAAGGGAGCTAAGGGAATCAGAGAAACGATCTTCATAAAGGATGCATGCAGCATCTGAACTGGGTCAAAAAGAAAAAGGATAGAGAAAGTCATAAGGTCAAAAGCCTTCCCAAGAAGGGTTAGGTTTAAAATTGAGTTAATTGGTTGGAATCTGAAGTCCACATACCTGGTCTGACATGATGGAATGGGTAATGACACACAAAGGAAAGGATCAAAGGTATTGCTCTGTTTTTGGCAGTGAGGGCAGGTCAACGAAGACCTATGACAAAAAAAGATTAAATTTAAGACCAGTTGTTAATGTACTTCTACGGCAGAAGAGTTTTTTAGTAAATGGTTTGTACAAATTTATAGTTGCAAATAGACACATTTTCCTTACCTTGTAAATAAAATTAAATACTGTTGCATTGGTTGCTAATCAGCAGAGGAAACTGAAAAATCTGGGTGGTAAAATCGTCCTACTACCTGCAACAGTGTAACATTCATAATACTGGCCAGATGAATTTTAATGTATCAGAACAATAGGATCATAGAGCTAGAGGCCTCATTAGACCTCATAGGCCATATTAAGTACTAATTCCTTGTTTTAGAAATGAGGAAACTGAAATCCAGTGAGATAATGTGATTTGCCCAAGGTCACACAGGTAGTAAGAAATGGGATTTAAATCTGATCTCCATTGTTTCCAAAGTAGCACCTGCTATTTCACCTGCTCTTGAGGAGAACATTCAATTTTAAAATAATATATATTATTATTTAAATTTTAATTCATTTCATTGCCTTATTTCTAGTTATGTCCCACTGGAAAAAATACTTCACTGAAATTTGAAAATGACTTCACTGCATGTGTCAGCATAATGAACCAGGCTGCCAGACACAGATTGTACACATGAAGGAGAACTTACCATTTTACTGGGTCATCTGTGTGGTTCTTTCTTAATAACACAGTTTTAGAGTTGGAAAAAATCCTAGAAATCATCTAGTCTAACCCATCCATGTTACAACTGAAGAAACTGAAGTTCAGAGAAAGGAAATTACTCACCCAGGTCACACAAATATTAAGCAAAATTTAAGATTTGAACCCATATCTTCTGATTCAAAAGCTAGTACCTTTCCTACCATATCACATTGTTTTTTCTGCTCTTCTTTGTCCTCCCCTCCCTTTACCTTTTCCCCAAATAGTGGCCATAATACAAAATAAAGTACAGTTTATTATCTATTGAACAACATTTTATTCTTGTTCATCTATTCAAGGAGATATGAAATGTTCTACACTCTAAAATTTTTTAAAGCACCCCAAAATTAAGTATTTGTGCATGTGGATTCCCAAGTCCATGGACATGAGTTTACAATGGTTCACATAAACAAACATCAGAGAGCTTCAACTCTTGGGGAACTGTGCTGTACATCTACATACTATGACAGAAGTAAGCCAGCAAAAATATTGTTTCAATCCTACGCCAGGATATATGGGCAGGGTAAAGAAGAAAAAAAGCCACACTGCCATACAATTTCCAGACCTATTTTCTCATGACACTCTCCATCAAACTATAGTGGATAGGGTAATGGACTTGGAGATAGAAAGACCTGGTTAAAAATTTCTGCCTCAGATACATACTAGCTATGTGACTCTGGGCAAGTCATTTAAATTCTCTGTGCCTCAGTTTATTTATCTGTAAATTGAAGATATTAGACTCAATGTCCTCTAATGTTTCTTCCAGCTCTAAATCTCTGATCCTAAGATTTCTCACTAAAAGGCTAATATAGACTTATAACTCCATCAAGGGATTGCATATTTGAAAAGCTACCAATTATGTGAAGAATCCAAGAAAGCCTTCCTCCAGCCTAAATTTTAATGAAAAAAAAATTCCAAAGTCACTCATCTCCTTGACATCTCTAGGTCAAAGATAACAAAGGTATAATAATATTCATTTCTTCTACGTCATTATACTTACACATCCCATCTTCCTGACTATAAAGTCATACAAAGTAAGTAATATTTTACATCTTCCAATATTTTAAATTGCTAGTTATTAAAAAAAAGGCTTTACTGGAAAATTCTCCATATAAATGGAGGTGGCTTAGTCAGCCACCATTAATGAAGCCGTAATGCCCTCTCCAGCACTCCTGCAGCTCACCAAAATAGATATTCCCATTCACTCATGCTTTAAATAAATTGCGTCTCTAACTTTAAAGTCTCTTGCTTTAGGATAGGAAATACCAAATACTTTTCTGCTTTCATGTTAATTTTTCAGTGGTGTAATTTGTCCCTTAATTTTGCCACACACATTCATCTTCTCAGACCATTCCTTTATACTTTTGACTTCACAAAATACAGACAATCCACTGCATATGTTTAATTGGTAGGCATATTAACTTACTGGCAGTATTATTCTCCAATTTCCCACCAAATGTACCTTTTTTAAACCTCCTTTTCTTCTCTTAAACTTTCTTCCTTCTTTCTCTTTTATACTTTTCTCTTTTCTACTGCCTGTGCCTTAAACTTACGATTGGCACCCACAGACACTGTTTAGCCACACTATGAGCACTAAGGCTGAAGAAGTTGATCATATCTATTTTATAACATTTTCCCTAAAATCTTTGGAGTATTTTTTTTAACAGAACTCATGCTTCCTCAACATATAATTGTTAAACAGTTGGTATTATTACTTTTTTAAGGTTAATGACCAAGTTAAGACAGTTCAATTTAATAAACATTAATTAAGCACTGACTATAAAAAAGAAAGACAATACAGTCCCTGCCCTCAAGGAGAAAGATATTACAATCTAATGGGATGGCCTTGTGAACACCAGTGCTCACATACTCTTATGTTCAGTTGACTTTTATAAAGTAGATTTCTTTTGTCTGTTTGCAGAATCACAGCCTCAGAGTTGAAATGAATCTCCAGGGTCATGTATTCTAGTAAATGTCCAAACAGGAATGCTCAGTACAGCAGCCCAAAATGTAGTCAGCCAGCCTTCATTTGATGATCTCCAATGACAGGAAACAATCTTCATCACATAAATTCATTTTACCTTTGATTCTGCTTAATTCACTTTGCCTTAGTTCATGTTAGTCTTCTCAGACTTTCTAAATTCTTCATATTCATCAAGAGAGTGTTATATACAGTAACAGCAATATTGTTCAAAGAATAATTGTGACAACCAAGTTATTCTGAGTACTGTAAATACTCAAATCAACTATAAAGGACCTATGAAGGAAGATACTATACACCTCCAGAGAAAGAACTGATAAATAGAAGTACACATGGTATGGTTTTACATATATTTATAAATCTGTGTCAAATGATGGCCTTCTCTAGTGCAGGGTGGGGAGGGAAGAAGGGAGGGATATAGTTTGGAACTGAAAATGTAACCAAAAAAAAAGAAAGAAAGAAACATAAAAACAAACAAAAAATAAGATAAGGGCAAAAAACAAATCTTCTGGCCACTAGTTCAAAAACAAACTTTTCAACCTAGTCAAGCCAATTCAAAATGAAGCCCCACCTTTAATACTCAAACTTATCAAATCCAACTTCAAATATATAGTAGCTTTGTGACCCTAGGCAAGTCACTTACCCTCTCTCAGACTCAGTTTCCTTATCTGTAAAGTGGGCATAACATTATCACCTAGGGTTGTGAAGATTAAATGAGATAACCTTTGTAAAGTACTTTGCAAATCTTAAAGCATTATTATTATTATTAAGGGTAGGAACTATGTCATATCTCTTTTGAATCTTCCACAGTTCACAATTCTAGAAAAGTAGGCATTCAAATAATTGTTCAATCAAGTTCTTAAACAGCAGAAAGACACCTAGGACTTTCCCAAATAGGACTGCTTGCCCTAAACCTTCTGGAATCCATATATATATATATTTTTAATAATACCAGTAAAGATATTGGGGCAGCTAGGTGGCAGAGTGGATAGAGCTCTGGCCTTGGAGTCAAGAGAACCTGAGTTCAAATCTGGGCTCAGACACTTGACACTTCCTAGCTGTGTGACCCTGGGCTAGTCACTTATCCCCATTGCCTCACCAAAAAGCAAAACAAAAAACAAAACAACAACAACAAAAAAAAAACAATACCAGTCAAGGCATAAATCTGGACATCTGATTATTTTTATTGCTAAATAGGCTTACAGAGAAGCTAAGGGAAGAAGTGTGCATGTATGTATGTTGTGTGTGTGTGCATCCATATATATGTATATATGTGTGTACATATCTGTATCTATAGCTATAAATAGATATCCCCTTTCTTACCTATACTGGGCTTGAAAGTGATTCTGAACAAAACTTTGTCTTGGAGAAAGCTGATCTGATGACGGAGTTTGCACCAAATTTTTGCTGGGCTCAGACTGGGGCTGTGAAGAAAAGACGAAAATGAAGATTAGGTAAGCACTTTCAATTACCCAGTAAAACCACAGCTTTCTACTGGCTATACTAGACTCACTCAACTACAAGGTCAACTATTACAATGCTTCCCTGACTACCCCTCAGACTCCCATACCCCTTTTGTCCTTGGTGAATCAATTCATAATTTGGGATCAAATCCAACATTCAATTCCTCTGTACTTAAGCCAAAAGTTCATCAGAGAAAAATATAAAAGTTAGGAGCTGTGAAAGAATGGAGATAGGAGATGGAACACAGAGTTCAGCCAACAGTAGGGCACTGTGGTTGTAACAGTGAGAACATGACTAATAAGAAACAGGGCAGAGAGGGAGGTGAGAGCCAGATAACAGCAGAACTTAAATGCTAGGCTAAGAAGTTTATATTTTGTCCTAAAGGCAATGCGGACCCACTAAAGTCTGTAAACAGAGGAGGGATGTCAGTCTAATACCTCAGGAAGATTATTTTGGCAGTTCTGTGAAACTGTTCTGTGAATTGGAAAAGTAAAAGATTGGAAGGCAGAGTGACCAATCAGTAGGCTATTGTAACGGTCCCAACAGCAAGTGCTAAAGGTCTGAACTAGGGCAGTGTGAGTGAAGAAAAGGAGATTCAGTAAAATGTTGTAGATACAGAATCACTAGAACTTGGCAAGTGATTGGATATTAGAGTTGAGGAAAGAGTCAAAGATGACATTCAACTGGGTACAAACCTGTGCGTATGGAAAAACAGCTAACTCTGGAAGAGGAAGTAGTTTTGAGAGGAGTATTACCATTAGGGGATTTCCAGCAAGAGATAAGCAGGAGCGGGTCCCATTGGTAGTCTCCTCGGGCTGTCTACATGGTACTTCATTTCCCAGAGCTTTCACCTCTAAATATTCTCAATAATTATATCTAATCATAATGTCTTTTACAATCCTACTATCTAGCTTTCCTCAACTCCCAGGAGACAATAGCCACTCATTGTTCCATATAACACAGCCTTTTGCTACCCAGCTTATACATCTTGCATCTTTATTTTTGATAGTTCTCTTCGCACTCCAAAAGATAGTGGTTATTCCCTTTCCAATGGAAATGGGTGTCCTTTAGTTTCTCTGCCTTCGAGTGTTGTAACAGAATATGTAATTGTTTCTAAAGTCCTCTCTTCTACCACAACCCTCAGGGACTCCCAGTACCCTAAGAGAACCATCTCCTATTATATACTAGAAATGGTTCTTTTTCTCCAGCTCTGTTAGATCATGGTAATTTATTTATAATACATTTTTATTGATGACTTCTGCTTCATACTTATCCCAAGTATCCTTCCCCCAGAGGTCCTTCCCACACAAAATACAGTATTTTTCAGAGAGGAAAAATACTCAGCATAATTGATCAATATACTGAAAAAGTCTAAAAACCTGTGAAATGTGTAATACATGTGGATCCCAATTCCACAAGGAGGTTTCCTCTCATATATTTTCATTTGAGTCCTTGATCTTTGTGATGTTGTTACACTCACTTTGAATTTTTTGGTGTGGAGTTGTTTCCACTTATGTTGTCGCGGTTACCATATATATTATTTTCTTGGCTCTATTTACTTCACTGTGCATCAGTTCACATAGATCTTTCCATGTTTCTCTGTATTTACCACTTATAGCACAGTTCATTATATTCATGTACCACAATTTGTTTAGCCATTCCCCAACTGATGGCCATGTACATTGTTCCAAATCTTTGCTGTCATAGAAAAATATTGCTAAAATATTTTGGTGTATATGAGGGCTTTCTTCTTATTGATGGCTTCCTTGGGGTATAAACCCAGTAGTGGGGTCTCTGGTTCAAAAGGTAGGACAAGGGGCAGCTAGGTGGTGCAGTGGATAGAGCTCCGGCCTTGGAGTCAAGAGGACCTGAGTTCAAATCTGGTCTCAGACACTTGACACATACTAGCTGTGTGACCCTGGGTAAGTCACTTAACCCCATCAAAAAGCAAGGAAACAAACAAAAACAAAGGGTATGGACATTTTAGTCACTTTATTTGCATAATTCCAAGTTATTTTCCAAAATGGTTGTACCATTTCATAGCTCCACCAACAATGTGTAAGTATGCTTATCATTCCATAACCCCTCCCACATTGACTATTGTGATTTTTTTGTCACTTTCACCAATTTGCAGGTTATAAGGTGAAATTTCAAGGTTGTTTTGATTTGTATTTCTCTTATCATTAGTGATTTAGAACATTCTTTCATGTGGTTGTGAATACCTTGCAAGTCTTTTCAGAACTTTTTCACATCCTTTGACCATTTATCTATTAAAGAATGGCTATTCACATTATATGTATTTATTAATTTTTAAATTATCTCAGACATCAAGCACTTATCAAAAGAAAGATGATAGAGATTTTTTCCCATTTAGCCACTTTTCTTCATATCCTAGGTGCATTAATGTTGTCCATGCAGAAGCTTTTCAAATTCAAATAGTCAACATTCTCTATCTTTTGTAATTGTTTCTATTCCTTATTCCGTTAGGAATACATCTCTTACCCATACCTGTGAAAGGCATGATTTGTTTCTAATTTGTTTATAGTATGACCTTAAATAATAAAGTAAAGTATCAATTTAGAATACATTGTGGAATATGGTGTAAGGTGTGGACCTAAGCTTAATTTCTGCCAGTCTTCTCAGTAGTTTTAATCAAATAAGTAGGGTTTTTCTCCCTAGGTAATTTGTCTTCATTTTATCAAACACTGGGTTGTTGACTTCTATTGGTTTCTAATTCTCCCTTGTCTGGTCTGGTTCACTGATCTATCTCTTTTGTGTTCTAACCAATACCAAATGGTTTTGAAGACTGCTGCTTTGTAATATAGTTTGAGGTCTGGAAGTGTTATTTCCCCTTTATTCCTATCTCTTTTTATCATGCCTTTTGACATTCAGATATTTTGTTTCTCTAAATTTTATTATAATTTTATCAAGTTCTATAAAATATCTGTTTGGTAATTTGGTATAGCATTAAAAGTGTAAATTAATTTTGGTAGTATTGTTATTTTTATCATAATTGCAAGGCCTAGCCATGAGTATTGACTATTCCTCCAGCTATTTAGGATTTGAGTTAAGGATTCTTTAAGGAGCACTTTGTAACTGAATCTATACAAGTCTTTTGTGTGCTGTAGAAGATCTACCAAGAGATATTTTATGCATAATTATTTGGAATGGGATTTCCCCTTCTATTACTGCTCTTTGTGTTTTATTATTATTCTATAGGAATGCTGTTGATTTTTGAGGATTTATTTTGTAGCCTGATACTTTACCACAGATATTAACTTCTCATTAAGTATCTTTTCTGATTCCCTGGGATTTTCCAAGTATACTATCTTATCAGCAAACAGGGATAATTTTATCTCCTCTTTACCTAACTTTACTCCTTTAATTCCTTTATGTTATCTTATTGCTATTGCTAGAATTTCCAGAACTATGTCAAATAATAGTGAGAGTAGGAATCCTCTCATATTAACTGCAAAAGGTTCTAGTGCATCATCATTGCATATGATGTTTGCTTTTGGTTTTAGATAGATGCTTTTTATACTTAAAAAGATTCCTCTATGCCTTACTTTGTAAGGTTTTTAGTGTAAAAGAGTGTTGTACTTTGTCAAAGGCTTTTTCTGCATTTATCAAGATAACCATGTGGTCTGGATGTTCTGGTTTTTAATATGATTAAGTTGATTATTTTTCTAATGTTGAAACATCTTTGCTTCCTTGGAATAAATCCAACTTGGTCACAATGAATGATTTCTTGAATATATTATTGTAATCTGTTTAATAAAGACATCTAGGTGGCACAACGGATAGAGTAGCTGGCCTCAGGTCAGAAAAATTCATCTTCATGAGTTCAAATCTGGCCTCAGATACTTCCCAATCTGTTTGAATAATCTGTGAACTATGGGTATTAAATGTCTGTTAAAAGTTTGATAGAATTGTCCTGTGAATGCAAGACCAGAGGTTTTATTCTTTGGTAGTTCCTTTACAGTTTCTGAGATTGACTTCTATCTGATTTTCTGATAGTTTGAGTAGTGTATATTTTTGATGGTATTCTGTTATTTCTTTTGTGTTCTCAGTTTTACTAACATACAACTGTGCCTAATGTTCTGATTATTCTTTTTATTTTTTTCTAGTTTTGCTATGATTTCACCTTATTCATTTGCTATTTTATTTATTTGTTTTTCTGCTTTCTTCTTTTTTCATTTTTCAATATTTTAAAAAAAATTTATTAACTAACTTGTTTTTAGTTTTCAACATTCACTTCCACAAGGTTTTGAGCTCCAAATTTTCTCCCCCATCTCTCTTCTCCTCCTACCCCAAAGCAGCATGCATTCTGAATACCCCTTCCTCCAATCTGCCCTCCCTTCTATCACCCCCCCTTCTCTTATCCTCTTCCTCTTCTATTTTCTATAGGGCAAGATTTCAATACCCCATTGCCTGTACATCTTATTTCCCATTTGCATGTGAAAACAATTTTTAGCATCTCAGTTCCAAATTCTATCCCTTCCTCCCTCCCCACCTACCTTCACTGAAAAGGCAAGCAATTCAATATAGGTTATCATATGTAGTCACGCAAAACATTTTCATAATAGTCATTCTATGAAAGACTAACTATAAATCCCTCCATCCTATCCTGCTCTCCTGTAAATTCTATTCTCTCCTTTGACTCTGTCCCTCCTCAAAAGTGTTTGCTTCAGATTATCCCTTCCCTCAATCTGCCCTCCATTCTATCATCCCCCACTCTTTTATCCCTTTCCCCTGTATATTCCTGTAGGGTAAGATAGATTTCCAAACCCAATTGAGTGTGTTTGTTATTCCCTCCTTAAGCCAAATCCCATGAGAGTAAGAGTCATTCGTTCCCTCTCACCTCCCCCCTTTTCCCCTCCACTATGAAAGCTTGCCTCTTTTATTTGAGATAATTTACTCCATTCTACCTCTGCCTTTCTCCTTCTCCCAACACAATCCT